GGTCCCGTTCAGACCTGGCAGACGGTGGGAGCGGGTGGGAGCGGGCGGGCTGAAGCACAGCCTGTGCCTGGTGTTTCAGGTTGAGCGTGCTAAGGGTAGTGAGGAGTTGGGGGTGTGTCTGTGGCTGAGCACAGTCCCGTTGGCCTTGTGTCACTGGCATTTGTTTGTGTTGAGGTTTATTCAGAGGCTTTCACAGCAAGTCAAAAATCAAAGTGTTGAGAACAAACTCCTGAACCCAGGTTAAAAACCAAACAAGGATCTGTTGGGACAGCTGGCACAGGAGGCAGTTGGCAACAGTCAGAGCAGTTTGTCATGGGCACCCGTGAGCAGATCCAGCTCACCTGAGAGCCCAGCCTGTCCTCTCCAGGGCTCTCCCTCCCTCTGTTCTTTCCCAAGGCCAGTCACTGAGAGCATGTCTTGTGCTCTGCTCAGAACCCCTCAAAAACCTGCTGTGTGTAGTGAAACAGTATGAATGTGGTGCTTTGTCCTCTCAGGGAGTGCTGGGAAGGAGAAGGCTGGATGGTGCTTTATCCATCACCTTACCTGTCAAAGGAACTCAGTGGCACAGAAGTCCCAGGTGAAGGTGACAGCTTTTTTTAGATCCAGTGATGCAGTTGGAAACACAGGTGTGCTGTTACCTTTTGGAAAGGGCTCAAGAATGTATAATTTTCCTCCTGATTGATGGGTTGTTTTAATAAAAAACTTACCTCTGCCTAAAAAAAGAAAAGGCAGGGGAAAGACGCCGCAGAGAAATGATTCCTCCTCAGAATCCTCAGGATGGCTATAAATAACCTCGTGTTCTTGCAGCAGACCTGGGTGTTATTTGTCTGTAGCTCCTGGGAAAGGATTGTTCCTAAATCAGCCATGGAAGGTGAACTCCAGGTACGAGCACCGTGTTCCCCTGGAGGAACGCGCCCCACAGGCCCGGGGGTGCACAGAGCTGGGGTGAAGGCACACTGCTGGGTCATCAGGTCACTGTTTGTCCCCTCGTGGCCATTGAGCACCTGTGGGCCAGGAGGGGTGGAGCCCAGCCGGCCACTTCCCCACAGCTTTGGACTGCGTGTCTCCCGCCAGTGCCCACTGAGGTGGGAGAGGTGAGACAAGGCTTCAGCCTGGAAATGGAGGAAGAGCTGGAGCTGTTGGGTGTCCAACCTCCCCTCAGCAGTTCTGAGGGCCAGAACGTGAGCCCAGGCCACTGTGTCTGATCACTAACTATGGTTGGGTCTGGTGGATTCACCACTTCCCTTGTGAGGGGATTCACCACTTCCCATCTCAGATTCCTATTCTTGCAATAGTCAGTGGCCACAGATTCAGCAGGTTTCCTACAGGCTCTTGGAGTTGCAGAGCTCCCACAGGTTTCCAGTCTCCAAAAATCCTTTCTGTTTATGCACGATGAACATGCAGCCATGCACGTTCGGGCCCTGCCCTGGAGCAGGCCTTGGATGGAGCGTCCGGCCTCGCCGAGGTGAATGAGGGACCCGGGATTGTCAGCAGGAACTGCTGCTGCTCCTGGTGCTCAAGGTCTTCTCCAGACTCCTGCGCCTCCCCCAGAGAGTCTGGTTCCATTTGGGAAGTCTGTCTCATCAGCCTCTGGAGCTGGTTGGGATGTAAATGAGTATTTTGGAGCTCTGTGGCAGGCCAGGGGTGTTTCCTGCGCCGTTCAAGCCGTGCCAAATTGCCACAGCCTCCGTAAGCCTGTTGCAGTTGCCAGTTCCATAACACGCAATAATTCGCTGTGTTTGCATTCAGTCAGAAACATGGATGATGTGCTACCATCAGCTCCTCACCCACCCAACCTGCGGCGCGCCAAGGGCAGGGCTCGGGGCGCTGGCCTATGCCCTCGGTTCTGGGGTCCTGTGCAGCCTGTACTCTGAAAAGGGTGTCTTCCCTTGTCCTTTGTGCCTCAGGGCAAGGGATGCTAAAGAGGTTTTTGTGCTCCTGCAGGGCGGGAGGGAGGGTCCCATCCTGTGGTGCCCGGGCTTTGTGCTGCCACGCTGCCCTCGGCTTGGCCGCTCCTCCCTGCCCAGGGCTCTGACTGTGGAGAGACTGGGCATGGGCAGTATCAGGACCTCGTGCAGCTTCGTGTCTCTGGATAGGGTGTAAGGGAGGGAAGAGCCATGAACCTGCCTGGAGGGAGCAGGAAGAGCATGGCAAGGCCCTTGATGGCAACCGTGGTGACCTTGTGATTTCTCCTCTGTGTTTGCAGATTCGTTTGTAAACAGCCAGGAATGGACCCTGAGTCGCTCGGTGCCTGAGCTGAAGGTGGTGAGTACCTGCAGCTCGTGCCTCAGATACCCCTGGTTCCCCAAATCCTGTGGGATGTGGTCTCTGGTTGGGGGCTGCCTCTGCCCCCTCTGTCCCCAGCACAGCCCCTTGGGATGGGACAAGGTCAGTACTGCTGGCACTGGGGTGGCCTGGAGGGGTTGTCAGGGTGGGCAGGATGCTGCGGGTGCTTCTCATTTGTGTCTGTTCTCGGAGCCCTCCATGATCTGTTCCCCTGCTCTGCTCTTGCCGTGCTCTCTGTGCCAGCCCTCAGCTCCCTGTGCAGGCTCATGGTGTGTCTCCTTCTGCCCTTTCTCCCTTTGGCCTTTTCTCCCTTCAGTCTTTGCAAGATTAACTTTTTTCAATATTACTCCAAGAAACAAAAGATCAAAATTCTTTTTGCAAAGCATTCCAACACTGTCCTGCCATAGTGTCGCTTACCTGCAGTGAAGTGAAAATCAAAACAAACTCTGAATATGCATTGGTTAGTTTGCCTGTGAAATGTGTCTTCAAAAACATTCCCGCAGCTGTTCCATGTGACGTTAAGGCTCTGGAGGCTGCAAAGCCGTGCTGACAGCTAAACCATCCCAGAGCTTTTAGTTCTTCCTCAAGTGCCCTTTTCCCATGTTTTCCATGACCTCTGAGAATCTCTTGTTCCGGGGTTTCATCCGGCCAGTGCAGCTCTTCTAAAAGCCTGGAGGCCTTTCAGAGTCCTGGTTCAGAGTCACAGGATCATTTGGGTTGGAAAAGCCCTCTGAGACCATCGAATCCACCTGTTCCCCCAGCACTGCCAAGGCCACCACTGACCATGTCCCCAAGTGCCACACCCACAGGGCTTTGAAATCCCTCCAGGGATGGGGACTGCACCCCTGCCCTGGGCAACTGTGCCAGGGCTGGACAGCTGTTTCAGGGAAGAAATTTCCCCAGTATCCAACCTAAACCTTCCCTGACACGACTTGAGGCTGTTTCCTCTTGTCCTGTCCCTTGTTCCCTGGGAGCAGAGCTTGATCCCCATCTGGCTCCACTGTCCTGTGGGAGGGACAGAGGACACAGAGCTGCTTGAAAACTGGAAGGGAGTGAAGCCTGGGAATGTTTCTTGTGGGAGTCAGTGTTGGGCCCTCACTGCAGGAAGGACATGGAGGGGCTGGAGCGTGTCCAGGGAAGGGAACGGAGCTGGAGAAGGGACTGGAGCACCAGGATTGGCTGAGGGAGCTGGAGGGGCTCAGCCTGGAGAAGAGGAGGCTCAGGGGGGACCTTCTCACTTGCTGCAAATCCCTGACAGGAGGGGGGAGCCAGGGGGATGGGTCGGGCACGTGCGCTGCCTCCTGGCAAGACTCGTCCCCTGGATCTCAGTGTGGACTGCATTCCCTCCTTTTCCCAATAGTCATGGAACAGAGGTCCCCACAGTGACTACACACCTTGTTTGGCTCTGGTTTGTACCTCTCAGGGGTTCTGTTCCTCAGGACTATCAGTTCAGAGGGAGCTGGTTTGTAGCTCCAGGTGAGCCCAAGGACAGGACAGGGCAGAGCAGCAGGATTTCAGTGAGACGCAGGTCAGGGTTTGGACTATGTGCAAACAAAGTGTAACTGCAGCCTCTGTCCCAGTTTTAGAGCTAAATGCCATCACAGTGCTTATCTCTGGCGTGGTGTGGGGCCGTCACTGCCGGGCAGCCCCGGGAGCTGCTCCACTGGCAGAAGTGGCCCCAGGGACTGGGGCTGTGGCCAGCCTGGCACTGAGCCCCTGGGCTGCCTGCCTGGCACAGGGGTCTCCACAGTTTATTCTGTGGAGACCTTCCCCAGTACTCCCACCTGGAGTGCTGTGTCCAGGTCAGGGGCCCTCAACACAAGAAAGACGTTGACCTGCTGGAGTGAGTGCAGAGGAGGCCACGGAGCTGCTGCCAGGGCTGGAGCCCCTCTGCTCTGGAGCCAGGCTGGGAGAGCTGGGGGGGTTCCCCTGGAGAAGAGAAGGCTCCAGGGAGTTCTGAGAGCCCCTGGCAGGGCCTAAAGGGGCTCCAGGAGAGCTGGAGAGGGACTGGGGACAAGGGGGAATGGCTTCCCACTGCCAGAGAGTAGTATTATATGGGATATTGGGAAGGAATTCCTGGCTGTGAGGGCGGTGAGCCCAGAGAAGCTGTGGCTGCCCATCCCTGGAAGTGTCCAAGGCCAGGCTGGACAGGGCTTGGAGCAACCTGGGCTAGTGGAAGGTGTCCCTGCCCATGTCAAGGAGTGGGACTGGATGAGCTTTAAGGTCCCCTTCAACCCAAACCATTCTGTGATTCTGTGATTCCCTGTCTCTGGTTAGATCCCAGGGGCAGGGGGGGAGGGCTTGGCCTCAGGACGGGCTGTTGCTGTTGTGGGTGACGTGGGTGCAGTGTTGGTGTGGGTGACGTGGGTGCAGTGTTGGTGTGGCCCTTGGGTCCCTGCAGGCCCTGTGCTCTGGAGACACGTGTGCAGGACAGGGAGGGCACAGCCCAGCCCGCGTTCTCCGTGCTCTCACCTGTCAGAACATGCTGTTGGGGACCGTGGTTGCTGTGGCAGCTGACAGACCTGGCAGCGGTGCCTGCGGCCCGGGCACACCCACGGGAGCACGTTGGTCCTGCTCCCTGCTCCTGCTGCGTGCCGGCTCCGTGGGCACAGGAGGAACTGGCACATGGGATGGTGTCCTGCACTCTTAGCATGGTCTGTGCCATCAGAATGCTGGCTGCTGCTGGGCTGTGCCTCTCTGCCTCTCACCGGGAGCGTGCGGGTGGCCCAGGGCAGGACCTGGAGCAGCGGAAGCATTCAAGCACCTGGCTGAGAGCTGGAGAACCTGCCTGGTGATGACTCACCTACCAAGCTCATCCCTGTGCCTGGAAAAGTTTGGCTGTGAACTTCTCTTTGGTGGCAGAGGCAGTTTAGGGTTCCAGCTGCTCCTCACCCTACGTTTCTCAGCGTGTGAGTGCAGCTGTAGAGGACCACAGAACCCCTGAGGTTGGAAAAGCCCTCTAAGATCACCAAGTCCCACCATCAACCCGCACCACCACCACCATGCTCACCACTAAACCATGTTCTCAAGTGCATCCACACATTTCGTGAACAATTCCAGGGGTGGGGACTCCACCCCTGCCATGGGCAGCCTGTGCCAGGGATGGACAACCCTTTCTATGAAAATATTTTCCTGATATCCAACTTAAACCTGCCCTGGCACAACTCATTTGCTCTTGTCCCTTGTTCCCTGGGAGCAGAGCCCGACCCCCACCCAGCTCCTCCCTCCTGTCAGGGAGTTGCAGAGCCAGAAGGTCCCCCCTGAGCCTCCTTTTCTCCAGGCTGAGCCCCCCCAGCTCCCTCAGCTGCTCCTCATCAAACCTGTGCTGCAGACCCTTCACCACAAACCTGCTCCCACAACTAGTGGCTTTAAACCATCTTGAAGACGCTGATGCCGGGCAGAGCTGGGTTCTCTAACCCATCCTGGGACACCCACCTCTGTTTCATGGCAAATCTGAGAGTGCTGGTGGTGCCACCTCCAGGGGTGGCCTCGTGTAGAGGGACACGTGCTGGGCACACCAGGTGACATGTGCCTCTGTTCCAGGGCATCGTGGGGAACCTGTCCAGTGGCAAGTCAGCCCTGGTGCACCGTTACCTGACCGGCACCTACGTGCAGGAGGAGTCTCCAGAGGGTAAAGTTTGGTTCCTTGGGTCCTGGGGGTGGGATGGTCCTCTCTCCTTTCCCCAGTGCTGAAGGTGACTCCCACCCCTGCACATCTCTGCCACTGCCGCAGGGCTCTGCAGCTCCCCTGGCCCTCATTTGGGGTGTCCCCTGCCTGCCCCCCCTCGCTGACCAGTGGCTTTGCTCTTCTCCCAAGGTGGCCGGTTTAAGAAGGAGATCGTGGTGGATGGTCAGAGCTACTTGCTGCTGATTCGAGATGAAGGGGGCCCGCCTGAACTCCAGGTAGGAGACCTGTCCCTCCCCACCCCATCCTGGGGATGCATCTGCCAAGCCTCCTCCTGGGATGCATCTGTGGGGGTGCCCTCGCTGACGGCTCCGGCCCTTGGGCTCCGGCTGCTCTCCCGGGCAGTAATCCCTGTAATCCTGCCATGTCTCTTCAGTTTGCTGCCTGGGTCGATGCTGTGGTGTTTGTCTTCAGCCTGGAGGATGAGATCAGCTTCCAGACCGTCTACAACTACTACCTGCGGCTCTGCAGCTACCGGAACACAGCGGAGGTGCCGATGGTGCTGGTGGGCACACAGGGTGAGAGCGGAGCCTGAGCTTCCCCCCACACCCTGGCCTTGGGCAGGAGCGCTGGTGATGTGTCCCTTTTGGCCCCTGTGGGGTGCCAGCCCTGTGAGCACATCGGGGGATCCTGGTCTGTGAGCCCTACATGGGGCTGAGGCTCCAACCCAGGGCCCTGAGGAGGTGATTCCTGCTCAGACCATCTCAGCTTTCCTGCAGGGAGCTGCCTCGCTCCATGGAACCACTTTCCTCATGGAAATGTCCAGATCTCCTGGTGCTGCCTCCTCTGACTGCCAGCAAAGGCAGGAAGGAGCCTGGGGCTGCAGAACTGTCTGTGTGACAGCAGAGAGTGGGAGCAAGGTGTGGATGTGAGGAAAAAATGTCCTGGCAGGACCCTGTTCCTGAGCAGTGTGACCTGTTCCTGGGCAGGAAGAAGCTCTGAGGCCAGGAAAACAGGGACAGCAGTGGGGAGACACAGGGGATCTGCTCCAGACCCTGGATTGAGAGTAGAACAAAGTTGTTAAACTTTGGATATTTAAAGACTGTGGAATGAATTTTAGGACTGAGCAATCTCGGCTCAGGACAGGACCGGGGAGGCAGCACGTGCTGTGGAGGTGCAGGAGTGGGGACAAATGACAGGGGGTTTGGTGGCCGTTGTTGTCACAGACATAGAGCCAGGTGGGGTCCCAGCCTTGGTACAGTCACACGACCCTCTGGAGAGTCTGAGGAGAGGCTCCTCACAGCGTGGTCCCAGTGCTGCTTCAGCCCCTCCTGAGAGGGTTTGTTTGCAGCCCCCGCTTGTCCTTGGCTTATCTTCAAGGAGTTGGATTCCTTTTGGGAAGGAAGTTTTTCCTAAACAGGCAAGCACTTGGCAGCCATCTGGGATACAAACTAAGCCTGTATTTTAGAGCTGTCCACCAAGGCCTCAGCTGTGGGGATGTCCCCGCAGAACCAACTTCCCCATTAACCCAGGAGGATTTCTCCCTTGGATTCTTTAACGTGTGGGGCTTGGCCACGAGCCCTAAAATAATGGAGACTGACAAATCCATTTTACTCAAGGGCTAGGACTGCCTGGCCTTGCTCCCCACACCTCCCATGGGGTTCTGCCTCTGTCTGCTGAAACCTCAGTGGCTGGGTGGTTCAGGGAGTTGAATCAGGTTCATTTACAGAGATTCATCCATTTTTCTACAAATGTGGGACTCTCAGGCATTTATGGGGGTTCCTATGGAGGTGGTTCTTCTGTGGGAAGAGAGGGAGGGAGGCCAGGAGACCTGGGAGCTGTGAACCTGTGGATAAGAGGGATCAGTGGGACACAGGTCCCTGCTCTGTAACCCCCTGTCCCTCTGGTTTGCAGATGCCATCAGTGCCACCAACCCCCGGGTCATCGATGACTCCCGGGCACGGAAGCTCTCCAATGATCTGAAGCGCTGCACGTACTACGAGACCTGTGCTACCTACGGCCTGAACGTGGAGAGGGTCTTCCAGGACGGTAACTGCAGCCGGGGCAGGGGGTCCAGGCAGGGCAGGGCAGCAGTGCAGTCCCGTGGAGGGGCCGAGGTCCGTCGGGCACCCGCTCGTGTGCGGTGCCGCTGCTCTGCACACCCCTGGTGCAGGGGCACGATGTGCTTTGTGCACAGGCTGTGTAAGGACCCCCGGTGTGGCATGTGGGTGTGCTTGAGGGGACACAGAGCGGGGCTGGGCAGGACCTTCTGCCCCTCTTGCAGGGGCTCCTCATGGGGGGATGCTCGTTCCAGAGAGCAGAGAGGCCGCAGGGACAGTTGGATCCCCACAGGGCAGTACAGCACTTCTGAGCCTGTGAGGACTTGGGGGGCTGCAGAGGGGGGTTTGGTGGCCTTGCATGGAGGACTGGAGGAGTCACAGCAGGACCTGGAGGTGTTGGAGTAGGGGAGCAGCACCTGAACAGCTGGATGGGGCAGCTGTTCCTCATGGGAACAGTGTGGGAAAGCATTCCTGCTTAGGCTTGGAGGGTGGTCTGCAAGAGCGATGCTGAGGGGGGACAGGGAACCTGCACCATCTCTTGTGAGTTTGCAGAATGCTTAAATAAACCAGGGCCCTGCCCTAAATGGGACTCTGTGTCAGGACAAGGGGGAATGGCCTTAAACTGAGCAAGTAGGTTTAGATGAGATATCAGGAGGTATCTTCTCTGTGAGGGTGGTGAGGCCCTGGCACAGGTTGCCCAGAGAAGCTGTGGCTGCCCCTGGATCCCTGGAAGTGTTCAAGGCCAGGTTGGATGGAGCTTGGAGCAACCTGGTCTAGTGAGACACATCCCTGCCCATGGCAGGGGGTGAAACAAGATGAGCTTTAAGATCCTTTCCAACCCAAAGCAGTCTGTGATTCTGTGGTTCCCTTGTTGCCCCCTTCTTCTTGTCTTCTGGTAGTGCTGCTGGGTATCTGTGTTCAGCACATGAGGAAGGGGCTGTGCAGACCTGAAGGCTGGGCAGGGTCTGTGTTCATGGAAGGGTCTGTTGGAGCTAAAAGCTGGGCAGGATGGAGCTGCTTTTGGACAGGAGAGCTGTGCTGGTGGTGTTTGAAGGTGGAACAGGCACATGAATTTTGAAATTCTGATGCCTGAAGGCAGGAATTCAGCTGGGGTCGTTGCAGCACAGCAAGACAGACTGAGGACAGACACGGGACTGATCCTGTCACTGGCCTCAGGTGGCTCCAAGCTTGAGCTGGTGACCTTCCTTCCCCTGCCTGAGCCTGTGCCCTGCAGTCATCTCAAGCTGTGGCTGAGGGTCACAGTCACAGTGGTGATTTCTTACACAGAAACATGAGGAGATGCTCCTGCTGCTGCTCTGGGACCATCTGAGTGGGCAGCCCAGAGACCCACCTTCCGAGCTGTCCCACCTGGCAGGGACCCCTCAACATCCAGCAGCCTTTGCACCAGTTTGATATTCCTGGGGAAACTGGGGTGACTGATGGGCAGATTTGTTGTGATCCTGCCTTCTTCCTCCTGAGTAATGGAGGAACGGGGGAAGGAGCAGTGTGAAGAGCTGAGGACAATGAGCTGGAGGGGAGGATCTGCCAAACCAGTTGGGATATTTGCAGAGCAGACCTGGGGAGAGCAGCAGCATCAGGGCTGTGAGCACAGCTGATCCTGGCTCTGGAGAGCATTTGGTGCTGGGTGTCACCAGATCTGCTCAGCTTGTTCGTTCCATCTGGTTCTGTTGTGCCCACTCTCTGGAGGGCAGCATAGCAAGGAGCTGCAGCTGGAAGGGCTGGGAAGGGCTGGGAAGGTGCTGCAGGATAGGAGCGGCTGTTTGTTAGGAGCTGCTCATCCTTTTCAATCTCAAGATGGAATGAATTGTGCTCTGGGGTTATTTCTCCCTCTCTTGACCCTGTAGCCCAGACAACACAACTTCAGCAGCACGATGTGGGAGGTGGACTGGGCTCTCAGTGCCAGTGTTGTGTCCCAGGCATGGTGGGAGACCTGGAGTTGCTGGCTGAGGGCTCAGGAGTGACCACCTGCAAGGTGCTGGGCTCCATCCCTGTCTGGACCCAGCCATGGGCCATACATGGGGTCAGGGAGGTGGCAAGGGAGTAGGATTGTCCCTGTGAGGAGCCGTGAGGCTGAGGAGACCCAGGAGTGTGGCTACCTGCTCACACAAACCTAGTGTTGGTCTGGGCAGAGGCTGGTGCTGGGTGGACAAGGAGTGTGGGCAGCTGTGATGGGAAGGTGAGGCTGTCCCTGGCAGAGGAAGTGGGAGCACCAAGTGGAAATCTGGACAGATTTGTGCTTCCATACAGGTCAGCAGGAGGAGGCACTGGATGTCAGCACTTCAAAAGGATGCAGAGAGACTGAGAAAGTTAAAAAAGGAAAAGCTACAAAAATTAATCAAAAGCTGGAAAAAATACCTGATATGAGTTACTACAAGAGTCATCCATTCAGAAAATCAAGAAGCTCGAGAGGAGACTTGATTGTAGGAGTAACTACGTACCCATCTACATGGGAAGAGATCCCAGCTGGGAGACTGCAGGCTGGGACAGAGCTTGTGCTAGAAACCCCAGCCAGATGAATTCAAATTTTAAAGAGTTCTTACTGACTTTATTAATAATTTTATTCATCAGCTGTTGGGAAAAATGCACAAGGAGGTACCATATCCTGCATCTCTTGTGCTTTCTCCAAACCAGACCGAGTCCCTCACAGGAGGAGTCTCGCCGTTTGCTCCAGTGGCTGGTGCCGTGGTGTCCGTGCCCCTGCTGGGTGCTTTCGGAGCTCTGGAGAGAGCTCTGGGAGCTGGGAGGGGAGCAGAGGGACCCACTGCCTTGTAGGAGATTTGGGCAAAGCCCAGGTGCTCGGTACTCTCACCTTCCTGCTGTACTGCAGGACCAGAGAGCTGCTCCTGAGCACGGCTGTGTGACGGAGGGAATGGAGCAGGAGGTGAGGGCAGTGGAGTTTGACAGGTTGGCTGCAGCCATCACTGGCATCTGGGAGCTGTTCAAGGATTTCCAGGGTCCCATTCCAGATGAAGCTGACTGATGGGAAGAAATGTTTCTGGAGTGGGTAAGCAGCTCTTCCTGGTGAGCACTGTTTCAGGATCTGGTGGATCCTGGTACAGCTGGTTAGGGTCTAGTGGAATGCTGGCAGTCACAGACGGTGTGAGGACTTTGCCTCAGGTGGTGATCCAGTTTCCATCAGACCATGTCTTTATATGTCTTCTCCCACACCAGCTGTTCATCCCAGATCCTGGCAGACCTGTCCTGGGCAGGCTTGGGAGGATGTCCACTTCCCACGGCGGAGCAGGAAGAGTTCCCTGAGCGCTGGTCTTTGCATCCAGTGCCGAGGTCACTCCCTCGCTCATGCTGCGTGGAGCGTGTGCTGCACCTCTGCTCCCAGACAGCCCTTCCCTGCCACTGTCCTGGCTCACAAGAAGCAGCCACAGACCTTTTTGAGGAGCAGGTCAATGTGCAGGTCTGGCACAACAGCTTGAGGGAGTGACCACCCTGTCCCTCAGTGTTTGTGGATGGTCCTTCCCACACGTGCCCCTGGTACTGAGTGTCAGGGACGCTCTGAGATGGAGACACTGGAGTCTCCACCTTCAGCAACTGCTCAGAGGTTCTCCAAGAACTGAGTGGCCCTGGCTGTTGTGGTGCCACCACAGATCAAGCAGAAGCAGCAGAGACCCTCCTCCTCAGAACAGGTCCCAGGTATCCAGTCTGGAGTCTGGAGCTGTGTGTGGTTGTGCTGTGCCGGGTCTGGACCGAACACATTCCAGTGTGTACCTGGTGGTGGTGAGGCTGTTGGTGTGACAGAGGCTGTGTCCAGGCAGTCAGGCTGCCAAAGGTCACCATGAGAAGGACACGTGTCAGGAGGACAAGAGTCACTTCCTCTTTGCTGGTTTCTCATGTGTCCTGGCAGAATTCCCCCTGGAGCCGCTGCTCACTGTGTGGGAACTGCACTCCTCCATCCTTCCCAAGTCCCCAGATGTCACAGTGACTGTCGTGGTGAGAGGATGGGACTGTGCTGGTGACTTCAGTATCACCAAGAGATGGCCTTGGCACAAGCAGGGATAGTGCCCCAGGCCAGGCTGTGTCCTCCAGTGTCCGGTGCCACTTCAGGACTCCCTGAGGGTGAGCCTGCTCTGAGAGGTGGTCAGTGTGGTCCCCTCATGGCAGAGCCCTCGCCGAGGTGGAGGCTGGCACAGAATGTGCCTTCTGACCTCTTAGGTCTGGAGAGGTCCGGTTAAAGAGCTTACTTCTCAGGACTGCCTTCGCAGTTTGAGTGCAGAAATCTCCTGGGGTTCAGCAGATGCCAGGACAGTTGCCAGAAGCCATTGGTGTGGGGGAGCCTCAGCTCTTAGGATTTATTTTAGGGATGTTTCTGTACCAAGCAAAGGTCAGGGAGCAGAGAGCTCTTTGTCCATGTTCACCTCAGCCTCCTGTTAATTTTCTGAACACCTGGAGCCCATGAGGGTCCCAAGGGCCCAGACTGATGGAGGTGGTATTGCCTGGGCTGTTCAGTTCAGTTCCTGGCTCCTGGAGCTGCCATGAGGGGTGACTGAGAGGTGACTCTGGCTGCCCAGGGATTCTCCTGCAGCAGCCCAGGGCTTGGTGGGTCTCTGTGGTGTCCATGTGAAGTCACTGCTCTGCATGACACCCAAGAGGTCAAGTGGCCTCTGGGGACTTGGCCTGGGCAGCACAGGCAGCCTTCCATATACCTGTCCCTGTGGATGGCAGGGATCCTGTGTGGCAGCAGGACTGCAGGTTGGATGTTCTACAGAATCCTCCCTGTGAGTACAGGGGGCACAGTTTGAGCCACAGGTGTTGGCCTCAGTCAGGGGAAGGGTCTGGGTCTCCCTGAAGCCCTCCAGAAATACGTGGGTAGAGAAAGCTGCTTTCTGGGCTCTGACCCTGTCCTTTTCTCCCTTTTCCAGTGGCTCAGAAGGTGGTGGCTCTCCGGAAGAAGCATCAGCTGTCCATCGGCCCCTGCAAGTCCCTGCCCAACTCACCCAGCCATTCGTCTGTCTCCGCAGCCTCCATTCCTTCTGTCCACATCAACCAGGTGGGGAACAGGGACAGGGAAAGCCAGGGACCCCTCGTGCTCTGCACACCCCTCAGCTCACTCAGTACCCCACAGTTCAGCCTTAGGCTCATGCTGCTGCCCTGGGATGGCTCTTGGGAAGAGCAAAGTGGTGTCACCCTGGTTTTTGTGTTCATAGCCTTGAGAGATTGTGGCTGCCCCATCCCTGGAAGTGTTCAAGATCAGGTTGGACAGGGCTTGGAGCAACCTGGTCTAGTGTAGGTGACCTGCCCATCACAGGGATGGAACTGCATGGGCTTTAAGGTCCCTTCCAATTCAAACCATTCCATGATTCTGTGATTCTGTGATGGTTTGACACTTGCCCTGAGGTCAGGTTTCGTGTCTATATCTTTGGGTCTGGCTCATGGTCCCCAGACCGTGTTGTGCTTCTGCAGGCACACAGCAAAGCTGTGAGGAGTCTTCAGGGAGCTTCCTGGACAGCAAAAGGGATCTGTGAGAGGGTCTTGCTCTGGCTGCCCCAGCCAGGCAGGCACAGCTGCCCATGGTCCTATTGCCCCCAGACTCAGGAAGCAGATGGTCTTGATGCAGATGCAGGTGGCTTGTGAGGGGATGTACCTGTGGAGAGGCTGTCAGGGGACAGCACGTGTAGCTGGTGAGTTTTTCACAAGGGGATTGGCTTTGAAGCTCCAGGTGTATGTGAAACTTCCAGCCCTTGGAGGACTCCTGGTCCTCCAGTGTGGGACCCTGTCCCTGCACAGACCTGAGACGTGTCTGCAGCCACTGCCTGGACCCTTACATGAGGAATTTTCAAATACCCCCATGAAGTTTATACCTGGCTGTAGAGGCTTCTAAAGCTGGACTGCAAGTAGGCAGATGCAGGTTTTTGCAGAGACCTGTGCCAGCTTCCAGGTGCTCTGGGTCACCTGGATGCCAGCAAGTTCAGGTGAAGCCTGTGGGCAGTTGAATGGGCTGCTGGGAGAGGTTGCAAAGCCAGATTCTGTCAGAACTTGCTCATGTCCAGGGAGCTGGAGACAAATTTAAGGGGAGACATTCAGGGTGGAGAACAAAGGAAAACACAGATTTAAGTGTATCTGGTAATCTGAGGGTTTTCTTAGCACACAAGTTGGGGGCAGTCAGAGCCTAGTTGGGAAGGAGAGGCCACCTGTGCTGGAAGGGGAGCAGGGGGCCCCCTTCCTTGGGGGGAGGTGGACACTTGCTTAGTGTTGTCTTCCCTGTCTGATACCAGAGCCACTCTATCCCTCCTTAGGAGTGTGTTTTTCCCTGAGTAGGCTGCTTCTCTGGGGCCTGAGAGCGTTCCCTTCCCCCAGATTGTCCTTTTTCCTTCCACCAGGAGCTGCCCATGGGGTCTGCTTCCCTGCATAGCTTTGTGCCCAGAGAGATGAGGGTGCCATTGGAGGTGGGAAGGATGTTCTGCTCTGGGCCTGGTCTCCTGGCCCAGGCTGCAGGCACAGCTCTATCCTCTGGAGCTGCTGGTGGAGAAGGTACTTCTCTGGGAATGAGAGCAAGGTGTCACCACAAAGGGCTGCTTATGGCAGGCAGGAGCTGTGAGCCAGCCTTGCCCCTCCACTTGTCCTGGGCATGTCTCTTCTGGAAGTAGCTTTATGCTACTGGCTGAGCTGAACTGGCGTTTTTGGAAATGGCCACTGCTTGTCTGCTCTGTCAGTCGGGCCAGTCCAGCACCATTACTGGGAGAGGAGGGACCCCAGAGGACCCTGGTGATTTTGTCACCTGTCTGTCCAAAGGGCTTCTTTCTCCTGGGGCAGCAGTGCTGTGGAGGTGTCCTTGCACAGTGGATGATCCTCTTGGGAACCAGCTAAAGGCCCTGGTTCTATTTCTGCCTTTGGGAGTCTGGGATTTTTTTGCTTTTATTCTGCAGCAGTGCCCAGTGCCTGGAGGACACTGCTCCATCCATGGGGAGGGGAAGGGAGCTGCAAGAGCAGGTCAGCCCTGGTCAGTGTTTTCCAGCAGCTCTCACGAGTCACCAGAAGTGCATGGTGGGTCCTGATCCTGAGTTCCGTGTTCAGCATCTCCCTGGTCCTCTGGTGTGGCAGGAACAGGGCCGGCCCTGGAGTCCTGTGCTCCCTCAGGGACACAGGTCTGTCCCTCAGGCCTTCCTAGCAGCTTGTGGGGTGTGGGTCTGCACCCGTTGGAGCAGGCTCCTTGGATCCCCTGGAGCCCTGCAGCCCCAGGGAAAGCTCTTGCTGCTGCCTTGGGCTCTTCTCTCCCTGTCCTGCCCACACCTGTCACTGGGCGAGCAGGTTGGATGGGTTTGGGAATCCCATTCCTCACTTGGCCCTGACTCCCACCCTACTCCTTCCTGGCAGCTCCTGGTCCTCGCCTGCAGGGAGGGGGTGGGAGTTTCTCAGACCAGTAGCTGCTTGCAGCACCTGCTGAGTTGTTCCACCTGATTTCCTCACTGTTGCTGCCCTGTTCTCGGTCCTTCTTCAGGGCCCCTGGGATGCCTTTGGGAGTTCCCCAGGCTGTGGGTGAGTCACCGTTGCGTTCACTGTGGGATGGGAGTTTGTCTTTCTGCCAGGGAACTGGTTCCCAGCAGCTGGCAGGAGGTAAGGCAGGTACCTCACGTGGGTACCTGGCAGGGCAGTGGGTGCACCCCTGGGCCTCAGGAGCTGCTGCCGTGCCCGCTGCGCTCTGGCTGCCCGGTGTCACGGCTTCGCTCCCACGGCCTCGCTCTGCCTCCCTGCACGGGCTCTTCGGGGGCACTGGGAAGGCCTTCACCCAGACTTCAGTGAGAGAGCACATGAAAGAGGAGGAAAATTAAAGTTTGCAAGTGAAATGAAGCCCCGGGGACAGCTGACCCGAGCTGTTAACAGCGCTCCCCGGCCTGCCGTGGCACGTTCCGGCAGAGCTCAGGAGCTGCAGCAGAGGGTGTTGGCATTTCCTCAGGGAAACCCGTATCCCACTGCGTGCTTGGCTCGTGGTGCCCCATTCAAGGGTTTGTACACTCCTCTGTCTTCCCTCTTCCTGCAGATGCCAAGCCAGTGTTTGCTGTTTGTTTGCACTCTTCTACTCAGAGCCCTTCCCAAATCTCTGTGTTCCGCCTCAGGCCTTGTTACACCAGGAATTACAGCCCCTTGACTCCAGCTGTGTTCTGCCCTGCCCAGGCACCCCGTGGCAATGTTGGTGCTCTTCCACCCGTTATGCATTAACGGGAAGGATCTGTCCCAGACGTGTTTTACCAGATTTCCAGCTCCCACTGTGTTCTCAGATTCTGATGGTGACCACACGTAGTCGTTCAGGTCCATCAGCAAAGTACCTGCCAGGAGCAGACACTGGGTACGTGCCCAGACCTGTCGTCTTGTCAGGGTTCTCCCACATCCCTGCAATTTGTCCCGGATCCCTGGATCCCACTGAAGTTCTGGAGTTCCCTGCTCCAGCGGAGCAGTGTGGTGGCTCAGGATTGCCTGTCTCAGATGCTCTCTGTGTTTGGGGGAATTTCTCCTCTGCCCCCAAACTCACAGGATCAGCTCTCCTGCTTGCCTTCACAGTGTGGTGCAAGCCATCCTCCAGCCCCAAAGCCCTTCCTGAGGTTTGGCTGGCTGTGGTACACTGGAGGCTCAAAGGCCAGTGCCCTTTATTGCCCAGGGACAGTAACCTTGGCTCCAGCACCCGGCAGACTGGGGCTAAGGAAAGTTATTCCAGCCAGGCAGAAATTACACACAAGGTTACAGGGACTATGTATAATATAAACCAGGATTTAGCAAGATTTGTTCCTTGGAGCTTTAGTGTCCATCACCTACATCCACAGGGTTTGTCCCAGCTGCTCTGGCAGGAGCTCAGATCCTACATCCTCTGCTGAACCGGGTCCTCCCCACAGTGACAGCATCATGAATGTGCTGCCAAGGTCCCTGAGAGGCACCAAGCATAGCCAGGAGCCAGCCTTGGAGGGGTCCAGGGCTCTGGGCAGCTGTGCCTGGCTAACTGGTCCACATGGCACGTTCTCTGTGCTGCAGCATCTGCCTTCTCTTCCCTCACACTTGGAGTATTTCTCTTTCTTTGACCTGATTCACACAGGTCAAACACTGACTGCACACATGTTGTTATGCCTGATCCAGAACTTGAGCTATCTCAGTAAATCCTCTCCCTCTCATTGGTCCTGGGTCTCTGCAACTCTTCCTTCATCGCAGCACCTGCAGAACTCCTGTGAGTGTTGGGCCCGTGGTTCACAGGAGCTCTGTCTGTTGAAGGCTCTGGCAAGAAGTCACTGGCAGGAGAGGCCTTCTCTTAAGAGAGGAAAGTTCTCTTGTGTGTCCTCTCCCATTTCCCTTGTCAAAAATGAGAGGATCCATGGCTTGGGTGAAGGTTGTACCTCTCTCTGGGGCTGGGCTGTGTCTGTGGTGCTGCCTGGGCCATCGATGCTGCCACTCTGGGAGTGTGGGAGCTGGGAGGAGTGGGCTGCCCCTGCTGGGGTGCCAGAGCTCTCCTCCCCTTCTAGGGGCAGCTCTTCCATGTGTTTCTGAAATCCTGTTCCAGAGCTGCCAGGGAGCTCGGGCTGCCGTGTGCTGTGTTGTAGTGAGACATCCTGTCCTGCAGATCTGAAATGCTTCTGTGCAGGTATTGCTCCTGGGACCTCCCTAAGCTCCTGTCCAGGTGGCTCCCCACAGAGCCGGCATGGGCAGGGTGGGAGTGAGCAGCCCTGTCTGGAGGAGATGTGTTGGTGATGTGGGTGCATGGCTACATGGTTGGGTCTTCCCCTTGCCGTGAAGTCCAGCACGGTGTTAGTGAAGACCCACATGTTGTCCCATGTGTTCCCAGGCACAGGCCACTGCAGCCAGGCCACAGTGGTCTGCAGGCATGGGTGGTGTGTGCCAGTCTCGGGGTCTGCTTGGATAAACCTCCAAAGCAGTAGCAGGGATGGGTTTCACACAGACCGTGAGCTTGGGGTGTGGCACCCCCTGCTTCAGGACACTGGAAAGGCGAAGGCTGGAGTCCTGGGGACACACCTGGAGTCCTAGGGACACACATCCCCACTGGCATCATGGTTGTCCTTGTGTGACAGGGAAGGGGAGGCTCTGGGCTGCCTCACAGCCCAGTGTCTGATGGTCTCAGTGGAGGGGAGGGCTCTCACTGTCCGAGGGGAGTGACTCTAGTCCCCTGGAATGTTCTCCCCAAATGTTCTGGGAGCACATGGAGGTGCCCCAGCCATGCCCCTCTGCTGGGTGGGGCTGCCATGGGTCCCTGCTGCTCCTGGCTAGCTCCACACCTGTGTCTGGAAGGGCTTCAGCCTGGTCTCTCTGGCCATTTGCTGCCCTTCACTGTCAGTCTCAGAACTTGAACATTTTACTGGTGGAAAAACTAGAGCAGAAGGATGGGAAAGGCTTTCCTGAGCCCCACAGTTGGGCAGCAGCAGTGCTTGGTCTGGGATGTCTCTGCGTTGTCCAGAGAGGTTGTGGACTCCCCATCCCTGGAAGTGTTCAAGACCAGATAGGATGGGACTTGGAGCAGTCTGGTCTAGTGAAAGATGTCTGTGCCCATGACAGGAGGTTGGAACTAAATGGTCTTTAAGGCCCCTTCCAGCCCAGTCTGTTCTGGGATTTTGTGATTCTGTGGATGTCCCAGTCCTATGCTGCACTCCCTGCCCCGCTGCAGGTGGGTGGTGTTCCCTCGGTCCAGCCTGTCTCTGTCTGACCATCCCCTCCCCTCTGCCCCAGGCCACCAACGGTGGAGGAGCCTTCAGCGACTACTCCTCCTCTGTGCCCTCCACCCCAAGCATCAGCCAGCGGGAGCTGCGGATCGAGACCATTGCTGCCTCCAACACCCCCACCCCCATCCGCAAGCAGTCCAAGCGGCGCTCCAACATCTTCACGGTAAGCAGCACGGGGGCCCGGGACCTCTGGGGTGGGTTTTCAGGGCAGGAGAGGGGAAGGGAGCGAGTCCCAGCAGCCTGACCCTCTGGGCTGCCCTGCACAGTGACCTGTCCTGCACAGTGCTGGCAGGAGGGCTGGATGGCGGGGGACGCAGGAATGTGCGTGTGTGTGGGAGGGACCTTCTGCGTGTGCAGGGACCCGGTGCTGAGAGCTGCTTCTGTCAGGGTGTGCATGCATGGGGAGCACCTGGGAGCAGGACATTCCTTGCACATGTAGGAGTGTGCATCTGTGCACTCGTGTGTGTGTGTACAGCGTGTGTGTGAGCAGAGTCCTGCCTGTTTATGGGGGAGTGCACCTGTGCGTGCACAGCACCGGTGACTCTGCTCTTCCTCTCCATGGGGCTGTGTCCCCCGGGCGTGGTACGGAGCCCTTTGCTACTGGGAGCCCTGTTTGGTGCCAGTGGTGCTGTGTCCAGTGGTGCTATGCAGAGCCCAGCACCCAGCACAGGGCCCCACTCGCTCCAGTTCCCGAGCCCTGCGTCTGCGTGACTTGAGCAGCACACTGGGAGCTGCCATGGGCACGGAGGGAGGGGAGGCAGAGGGGAGGCAGCGAAGCCCCAGGTGGAGCAGGGTACGTTTGCAGCTCTTCCCTGTGCTGGTTGCCTTGCAGCCTGCCTCTCCACACGCTCTCACACCATGCACACACTGTCCATGCAGCGTGCACAGTCCTGCCCTCACACTCACCCTCGCTGTTAGTGCAGCCATGAGTGTCCCCTCGCTGTGAGCACACACGTGTCCCAGTCCTGTGTCTAGTGTAGGTGTAGCCTCTGTTCCCCATGTATGTGTGCGGGCTCCGGCCTCGCTCCTCTCCCCATCTCAATGTGCTTTCCAGCCACCATTCCTCAGCACACTGTATCTGCTGTCTGTGGCACCGGCCACCACAAAGTCCTTGTACCTGTTGCACCGTGTCACCCTTGTGACCAGACCACACAAATGCAGTGTCCCACGCCCCATCCCTCTCACTGCACCATTGGCATCCCAGATTCCCCACTCTTTGTGCTGGGAGTGTGCCCATCTCCCTTGGCTTATGACATCCTGGAAGCTTCTGCGCTGATGTCCTGAATGCTCTGTGCACTCCCCCTGATTGCACCCCATGCACCCCCAGCTCTCTGTGCACGCCCCTGCCCCACGCTCACCCTGTCCCTGTGCTGTGGACGGGTGGGCTGTGCCCCCACCCCTCCTGATAGCACACGCTGTCCCTCACAGCGGGTCCGCTCCCAGCGCATGGTTGTTCCCTCACTGCCCTCCCGTCCGCGCTCACCCCGCCGTGGATCCGTGTCCATGGCCGTGCCTCCCGCTGTCCCCGGTGCTGAGAGATGCTCCCCCTCCCCGCCGTTCTCTTGTGCTTGCTGCTGTACCCTGTGCTCGGGTGCTCGTGCTGTGCCACCCGTCCCGCTGGCTGGGCGCCCACGGGCCAGACTCGCCGTCAGCTCGTGCTCACGCTCTCTGGAACCCCCTGCTCGCTCTTGTGGGGTGGGCACACGCTGGGGGGGAGGAGGAGGGCGGCTTGCTGTGGGGCTTGCGCTTGTTCGCTGTGGACGCCATCATCCGTGCAGGCTCTCACGTGCTCTCCCATCCCGGGCTCACGCTTGCTCACTGGGCTCGGCTGGCGCGCTCACTCGCCGTGGGGCTGGGGCTCACCTCACCTGCTTGCTCGTGTGCTGGTGCACATCCATGGCTCACGTTGACGTCTTCACCCATCTGGTCGTGGCAGCAGCAGCAGCTCCCGACACCTCCTCCTGCAGTGGGACAGGGCCGGGGAGGGCAGGGAAGGAAAGAAAAGGGCAGGCTGTTTTCTGCCACTACCTTTTCCCAGGCAGACAGCTCAGGTGTAGCCAGCAGCCCCCCGTCCCCGCAGGGTCCCCAGGTGAGCACAGGCCTCTCCGAGGTGTGGTGCTTGGCTCAGCTCCAGGAGCCACTGCAGCCCCAGTCCCGAGCCGTGCCTGGCTCCTTCACTTCTCCTCTCCTCTCCTCCTTGTCCTCTCCTCCTCCTCCTCTCTCCTGCTCTCGCTCCCCTCCCACTCCCTTCCCGCTCCCCTCTGGATCACACCCCCCCAGCAGGGTCTGCGTGCCCCATAGCTCCAGGTGGAGACAGACGCTGTGCCCACCCGTGCCCCGAGGCGCCCACCTGCACTCAGCCCCTGCCCGGCCCCTGCCCCGACTGCTGCTGCCGCCGGTGCCGCTCCGTGGCCTGTCCGTGCTGTCCGCTGGCGCCCATCGCTGACAGACTCGTGTCCGTGTTCTGAGTATAACTTGCCAAACTCTTTATTCTTTCGATATTTGCAGATATGTGCCACTGTTTCCAACTTTTCATCAACAAAAAGGCCTTTCCAACTCCTTCCAAATTAGAAGATCCAGGTGGTTACACACGGCACCTCTGTACAAATTCTCTCACTTTTCATTGCCTCTCCAGGGCCGGATAAGGGATGGGCACTGGGATTGATCTAAGATTAGAGGCTCGCCCGCCCTCCAGCCAGCATGGGTCCCCCCCTCGGAGACACGCAGGAGCCTTTTAAATCCCCCCAATGTAAAGTCTAGGAAGCGCTGAGACGGCCTGCGCCTGCACTTTAAGCTGGGACATTTCTGGGCCTGCTGGATGCTGTCTAGGCACTGCCCGTGCTCGGGGATGCCAGACGGACGACCCTCCTGGGATGGGAAGACCTGCAGACCCTCTGGGACCGGGCGACAGCCGCGCGTGGAGCTGGATGGGCCAAAAGACGCTTTGCTGCTGCCTGCGGGAGCCGCTGCAGCGCCTGCCGCTAGCGCTCCGCTCCTTCCTCCCTCCTGCACCTCTGCAGCCTGCATGGACTCCTGCTCCTCCTCCTCTTCCTCCTCGCGGCCGAGCAGCCATCTGTGTCTCTTTAGTTTTCTTCTCTTTCGATCTCTTTGTTTGGTTCTGGGCCCAAAAGCCGGTGAATCAGTGTCCCAGGCGCGCGGGGCTTGTGTCCCTTTCTGATCCAAAGCACATGGGGCGCTCCCGGACTGAGGGGGTGTGTAGGACACTCCAGAGAGACGCTGCCGCTGCCTCCTGCCATTGTTGTGATTCTGAATGTATTGGTTGTGCTCCATGCCGTGTATGACTTGGTATTTCCCTCTGTCCTAAGCACTTTGAATGAGTTCTGCTCAACAGACTGTAAATTTCATATTGTATTTATCGGAGTTTGCTCTCCCCGTGGCCCCCGGGCGCCGGCGGGTCCCACTCTCGCCGCTCTAGACGTGTGGTAGATATTTATTGTCCATGCTCTTTTGTAAGGGGCTGGTATCTCCGCCCGGTGACCTGTGCTACTTTGTATGGTGCAAGTGTGTTACCAGAATAAATCTGTTGGATTAGTAGAGGTGTGAGTTCCTTCACTGCCTGAGCCTCTCCTGCTTCCATCCATGCTCCACCTGCATCCCATGCCATTTGTGTCTGTCGCCATGTCCTGTGTGCCCCGCGGGAGGGGGGGCCGAGGTAGCCCCGCTCTGCCAGGAGGAGGACAGCTCTGCTTGCCGTGGGGGGAGAGGAGAGCTTGCCGGGGGGCTGGGCTGGAGTGTCCCTAGAGGGGCCGGCTGCGCCGTGCACTGGGAGAGCTGTCTGGGGGAGAGCGGAGTGGTCTGATCCGGACCCGCTGGGGACGGGGAGGCCGTGCCTTCGGTCTCCTGTGCCCGTCTCTAACAGACCTCTGTCTCTTCTCTTCCAGTCTCGGAAGGGCGCGGACCCGGAGCGGGACAAGAAGGTGCCGGAGTGCAAAGCGGACAGTATTGGCAGCGGGAGGGCCATTCCCATGAAGCAGGTTCGATGCTCCCCCGTGAGCAGGGTCCGGGGGGTGCAGTCCGGGGGCCTTCGCTCGGCACGAGGCACGGAGTGCTGGGGGTCGGTGCCCCGGCACCGGGGGGGGGCTGCACACCCGCCGGGCGGCCGGTGCAAGGGGGGTGCTGGGCTGCTGGTGTGGGCCTGTGCCCTGTGTGGGTGGGGGGCGCAGGGGTGGGCTGCAGCGAGGGCTGGGGCTGTGTGGGGAACTGCATCGGGGGGGCTGGCAGGGGCTCTGGGGGGGCTGCAGAAGGGCTGTTGAGGAACTTGGGCGGGGGCTGGTAGGGGGCTGTGGGGGACTGCGGCGGGGGCTGCGGCTGCGGAGCGGTTCCAGCAGATGGCATCCACACCCCGCGCCTGCCACAGCCCCTGGGCAGCCTCGCTGCTCCTTGTCTGCTCCTCCTGTTCCTCTCCACTCCTGCTCCTGCTCTGGCCTCACTGCCCTCCGGCAGGACAGGAGAGGGCCTCCCCTTCTCATGGGCTACTGCAAAAAGCTGCAAGCACAGTACCCACGCTGTGAACTGCTGGGAATCCAAGGGAGGCCACGCCTGCTCTGGCAGCAGTGTGTTTGGATCCTGCCTTCTGGCTTCCAGGGAAGCTCAAGCTGCCTGGAGCTGACCCGGAGCATTGCCTGCCCGTGTCCGTCGCTGGCAAGCAGCGATGGGTGATGTCCGAGTTAGCCAAGCGATGTGGATTGTCTGGATAGTTGCCACTGGGATTTCCTTGCACTATGGACAAGACGGATCCATACACTGCTTGGCAGTGCCTGGCTGTGCTCCTGCCTTGCACCTCATGCCCCCCTTGTGGATTCATTTCCCCACCATGGCCCCCACTAGCCTCTCCATGCCCCACGTGCCCCCCATGCTGCCAGGGCTGAGCTGTGCTGCACGGGGCCAGTTGTGTCTCTGCATCGTGGGAGCACTGGGCAGATGGTGCCCCTGGCAGGGAGCATGCTGGAAAGAGGGTGACACCAGGAGGGCATTGTTGGGAGGGTTGGGTCTGGGGAGCAGTGACAGGGGAAGCAATGCCAGGGCGGGGCTGTGTGGTCTCACACATGGGGGCTCTGCTCCCAGGGTGCCAGGAGTTGGTACAGCCCAGCAGGAAGAGGCAGCCAGCTTTCTGTGGCACAGGTGCTGTTGGTGTGCAGTGGGTCCTGGTGTGTGGTGGGTTGTTGTTGGTTTGCAGTGGGTGTGCCCATGTGCTCTGGTTTTGGGTCAGCCCAGCCTGGGCATCGGGGAAAGTGGTGTGCAGCTGTTCCATGGTGAGGAAGGGGAGGCTGAGAGCAGAGCAGCTGAAGCCCTCAGTGGGACCTGATGTGATTCCCCAGAACTTACTGCTGCCTGCCAGAGGGCTGGTCCTGGGAGCCCTCCTGTGGTCTTGGTTATCTGAACCTATGGGTTTCTTTTTTGAGGATCTCCCTCCACTTGGCAGGGCAGGATGTGTCCTTTGCCTGCTCCTGTGTCTCCGTGCTGCTGACAGGGCCTGGCCTTGTCTGGTCTGCCAGAGGATGCAGTGCTGTAGTGGGATTGCTGTAGGCAGGACACTGCTGTTCCCGTGTGGAACAGGGGGAGAACTGGGACCGACAGAGGCCCAGGTCTGCAAACACAGCCTGTACATCCTTTCTGGGCTTTGCAAGGAGGAGGTGCCAAACTGCTGCCTGGTTCAGGACTAAGTGGAGGGACCAGTTCATGCAGCAGCAGCTCCCCAGGAGAGCCCAGAGCAAAGTGTTCCCAGGGGAGATCCATGTCCTTGCCTGGCACCTCCCATAGCCAGAGCTTCAGGAGGTGATTTTGCAGAGACCTTGTCAGTGTCTGTACAGGAACATGCAGGGGAGGAAGTGGTGTTGAACAGGTGGATACCAGCTTGTGCCAGTGGCTCTCCTTTCTCAGGCTCTGGGTTACACTGTGCTGGAGGTGCTGGCCCTGGGCAGGGCTCAGGCTGCAGAGCACCACTGTGACCTGTCTCCTGGGACACTGTGGCACCTTGAATCGCTGCCCTCCTGCTGCTGGAATTAAACAGTGGTGCTGCAGCATCTTAGGCAGGTATGGAGTTGTGTTCTTCAAGGAGGACCTGGCTGATATCCACAGCTGGGCTGTGGGGATGGGGTCTGTGGGAACATGCAGCGTGGAGAGTCCAGAGTGATGTCCCTGCTGTGGCCCTTCTCCACGAGGAGTGATGACTTGGTACCACCAATGGGAAGAGGACCAAAGACTCAAAGGAGCTGTTGCTCTTCATCACAAAGATTCAGGACAGGGGATGGTTGCTCTGTTCCCTGGTGTGGACCTGCCTCTTCTGGTGGATCACGGAGGTCTAGTTGCTTGCTGTCTCTTTTCAGGACAGTAGGAGAGCAGGGTCTTTAGTTAGTTTTCCTCTTACACAGCCTGGTGGTCCTGCCCAGCTGTAAGAGCAGAGAAGCCAGTGGGTTTGGGGCTGTGAGTGGCAAACGTGCAGGACCTTCTGGCTGAATATGTGTCCAGTGTTCCCCTGGTGTGGGCACTGCTGGGCAGCACAGCTGTGTTCGGTGCTGGGGCCACTGGCATGTCACCTTGGGAGCAGTTGAGTCCTTCTGCTTGGAAGAACGAGGCTAGTCTGTGGTTACGTTACCAGCCAGTGGCTGAAGGCAGTGGGTTGGCTGCCTGGCAGACTCCCCTGTGACTCCTGTGGCCCACGACCCCTTCCTGGGCTCTGTGGGGACAGAACAAGCACTGGGAAGCACTGGCAGCCCCATTGGCGCACCAGGCCCAGGGTTTGCATGGAGCCAGGATGTGGGAAGCTGGGCTGGGTGCTGCAGAAAGGAGAAACTCTGGGGAGACTTGGCTGAGAAGGGACATGTGCTGCCATGACAGGGTGCCTAGTTTTCACTTGTCACCACCTTCTCCAGCACAGCGCCTCTGGGTGACCTGATCTGTCTCCCTTGATGCACATCTGGAAAAGATGTGTTGGGGAAACACATCTGGAAAAGAGAGTGTTGGGGCCCCTCAACACCTAAGACAGCACTTCTGCTCCCTCTGGGCTGCAGGGGCAACTGGTGCCTGTGCCAGGGGTGCTCTGTGCCGGGGACTCAGGATCCCTGTGCCACAGGGACACTGTGCCACAGCGTCCTTTCAGTGATGGTCCTGCAAGGCTGGAAGAACTCCCTCATAGCTGGACGCTTGTCTCCAAGAAGTGGGTTAATTGGGCTGGGAGACGAAGCTTCCCCAGCTGTTTGTTGCCAGGAATGAACTCCTAATTGCACATCTACCAGATCTTTCTGGGAAGGCTGCATGGAGCGTGCCGGAGGCCCGGGGGTCCCTTGGCCCCTGGCCTGGCTCCGCTCGGGCCGTGCACTCCAGCAGGGCCCAGGGCGGGTGACTCCTCCTCCTTGGGAGCTGGGATCATGCTGGGAGCTTAGATTACATTTAAATTGCCATTTGCATTTTCCAATCAATACGCGACTTTACAATTAAGTTTGGTGTTAAAATTCTTAGCAAAAAGTGAGTGGAAGGGAGATTTGTGGAGTAAACGAGTCCTCTGGGGGCCATCGCCGCTCCCTGCTTCATTACGCTGCATATTGCTGCTGCTGCTTTTACCGTGCGGCAGCACAGCCTGCACGGAGCCGGCCCGCGGAATGCCGGGAGAGGGGACCAGGGGGAAAGGGAGAGCATCGGGCTCTCCTGCCTTTCGGCTCTGCCTGCTCCTGCCCTTCGCACGTGTGCGAAGAAACTTGTGGAAGAGTTATTTGCTGTAAGTCTTCCCGGGAGGCGCAGAGGGAGATGGAGGAGCACAGGGGTCTGGCTGGTCTCGGAGCCGTGAGGAGCCTGGCCAGGACCGGGAGCACGAGGGACGGCCCGGACCGTGGGCAGAAAGCCATTGCATTGCGTTAGGTGCTTAATTACACCCCGTAGTTGCTCCTGGTTTTGGACTCTTGTGCCTCCTGGCTCACAAAAATGGGCTGCAGTGCTGGATCTTCCTTTCTGGCTCTGAGTCTGGTTGTGCTTCTTAGTGCTTCTTAGTTTGCCAAGTTCCAGGTTTGAGGCTGAATTAACTGCAGCTGAACTCTTCTCTGCAGACAGAGATTTTGGGGCAGTCTGGAAGTGTTGAATTGGGTAGTTTGTAACACCAAGGTGCATCAGGTACAAGACACATTGAGGAGAGGTAGCTGGAGCTGTTATGCAGCACGTGTGGGCAAGTCAGGCTGTGGAACCAAGCTGGGTTTAAGGGATGGTTATGCTCAGAAGGGATTATTACATACCCAGAAGGGATCTTCATGGTCAGAAAGGAATTGTCATTCCTTGAAGCCATAGAATTTCACCCAGTGACTTTGAGCCAGATCTGTAACCTCACCCTGGTCTGAAGCAGATTTGTTTGAAAGATACCAAACAAATGTTGGGCACAGGTTTACCATTTATGACCACATTGTTCTCAGTCATGGATATGCTTTAAGACCTTGCACTTGACCAGTTTTCACTCCATCCATTGCTGGCTCTGGATTTTGTACAGCTGGTGTTTAAGGGTGTTGCTGCTCAGTTAAAGTACTGACAGAAAGCTAAAAACGCTGTGTCAGCACAGCCATCAGATATTGCATCTTAGCCAGGGTAGGACCAGGCTCCTCTGCTGCCCCGTCTGCACCAGCTGGCATTGGCTGCTCTGCTCTCCTCTCGGTTTTTTCCCATCAGTCCTTGCTGTGGCTTTTCCACACATTTGCCTGGTGTTAGTGTCTGGCTGTGATTCCGAGGGTCATTGTTTGTCCCCTGGCAGATGTCGGCAGAGCAGGAGCTGCTGGTCAGCTGCCACATTCCACAGCGTGTTCCGTCAGCACCTTCTGACTGCCACTGCTTGAGCTCGTCGGCCCATCCCCTCGGAGCTCTCGAGGGCAAGGGATCTGATCCTGGCAGGGGATCCGATCCTGCCCACACACAGCTTCGCCCTCGCTGCTCTGTTTCGCTGTCTCATCCCTGCACGAGCAGGAGGTGTTTCCTTTTCCCACTGTTTGCTCCCCGAGCCCTGGGCTGGAGCAGTCATGGAGTACTTCTGCCTGTCGTGCACCATTTATCTCCGATTTCACGGTCACGTCTGGCAGCGTTGTCCCCCCGTGTGCGCCAAACCCCACCACTTTGTGCTGGGCCAGTCCACCGTGTAGGTGCAGCAGCCCAGTCTCCAGGCACTGGGACAGGGTCCCCAAATATGCCGAGGCTGGCAGGGCTGAGACTTTCTGCCCAGGTTTTTGAGGAGGGGCTGGCCTGGGGCCCAGATTTTTGCCATGTTAGGAACAGCCAGCCTGGGTGTCTGTCCAGACAGCGATTTTCAAGGGCCCAGGCCCGACATTTGATAGATCCAGCCTTTTTCCCAGACTCCGTTATTCATTCCTACTTTTGTCCCTCCATGCTGTCCTTCCGTCGCTGCTGGCAGAATGCTTGATGTCTTCTCCCTGCTCCGGAGTCCTTGCATCTGGCATCTTACTCCACCTTCCCTCTCCCTCTCCACCTCTGCCCTTACCTGGTACATGATGGATTGCTGCTGGAGGTAGATTTCCTGGGGAGGCAGAAGTGGATGGGGAAAGGATGAGGAGGGTCCAAGTTCTGAGCTTTGGTTCAGATCAGTGGAATTGATTCCGGTTTATCCTGGTGGGAAGAGGGAGTTCAGGGTATGTGAGTTCAGTCATTTCCCAGCCCTGAGAGTGTGCTGTGCCAGAGACCACAGGATGGGTCTTATGTAAAATCCTGATGAGAAGAGGGTGTGAACCAACCCCTCAATTGCCCAGGACTTGCTTTCTCTCCTGGAATGTGTCCCTAGCTCTGTTTGGCAGCTCTCAGAAAGAATCGCAAGCAGACGAGGGAATGTGCATCCCTTGGGAGACCTGTATTTGGAGTGTTGTCCCTCAATCAGCCCCCTCCTGTCCCCTTGTTGTCCCTGCCTTGACCATTCCTCTGCGCTTTGGGTGGTGGGAGAAGGTCTGGGATCCAGCTCTGTTGGTGGTAGGGAGGTTGCTTCCTGCTGTGTATGGGCACTGCCCTTTGGCACAGGACATTTGCCCAGGGAGTGATTCAGGACACCAGAGGATGTGATGGGTCCCTCAGAGGACCTGGGCATTGGTGCTGGCGTGTCTCAGAGGGAGGGGGGCTGTCTGTGGGGGCTGAGTTGTTGGTGGGGAAAGGGGTGCAGCCCAGGGAAATGCTGTGGGAGAGCCAACCTAGAAGATGTTTTCTTAAGTCTGCTCTTTGTGTCTTTTCCAAGACCAGTCTCCAAGGGGCAGTGCTGGAGCGGAGCGGGAGGTGCCTGGACTGAACGTGGTGTGAGACTTTTGACTCTTCTCTTTCAGGGCATTCTCCTCAAACGCAGCGGCAAGTCCCTCAACAAGGAGTGGAAGAAGAAGTATGTGACGCTGTGTGACAACGGGGTCCTCACCTACCACCCCAGCCTGCACGTGAGTACTGGGCTGGGTAGAGGAGCAGGGTGGGACAGAGCGGTGTCCTTCATGCTGTGGCTGCTGCTGCAGATGCTCTCATAGCAGGCACGGTGACAGAGAGGGGCTGGGGAAGGGTTTGGCAGTGGGTGGGAGCCCTGGGCTCTACCCTCTCCACTGCGCAGGAGTTCAGCTCTGGCTCCCTCCAGTTTTCAGTAGAGCTGGTTTTCATCGGGGTCTGAAGGAGACCCCTTCCCTCTCCTGCAGGCTGTTTGTGCAGCGTCAGGCTGGTGGGGAGAGCTGGTGGGAACACGCTCTGTGCAGGGCTGTGCCGAGGAGCCGCAGCTCTCCTCTTTGCCTGCTCGGTGCATTGAAGCAGGGGCTGCTGCCACCCCACAGCCGGGCGAGGAGCAGGCAGAGAACTCCGTGCAGCCATGGCTGATGGTGCCATTTGGGTGTGGAATAATTTTCCTGGCTGCTAGGTATTGGGTAATGGAGACGAGGTGCCTGTGCAGAGCCTGCCGAGCTGCGCTGCCGTCGGCGCGGGGCTGATCCTCCTCCCCGCGTGGCTCGGGCGCAGCTGCCGCCCCATCCATCTCTGTCGCCTCCCCACTGTGGGGCTAATGGCTTCTTCCCCGTTCCTCTTGAGCACAGTTTGCTGCTGCGACAGCAACCACGGACAGACACACCTGTGACACAGGCCCCAGCACCTCCGAGAGGACGTGCTGCTGCAGGACAGACAGACGGGCAGCAGCTGGGGAGCTCAGGGCGGTTTAGGGGTGCTGGAGCACCCTCTGGGGCTGCAGGGAGAAGGATAAGGTGCTGCAGATCTTGTGAATGCTCAAAGGCCCTCAGTCTGTCCCTGATATCCTTGACCATGTGATGTTGGAGCCTCAGAGTCCTTCTCTGCATTGCTAACCCTGCATCCCTGGCTCCAGGGCTTGCTGTGC